TAAGTAATGCCAAAACATAGAAATATGTACTCGTAAAGGAAGTATTGTAAAATGCTCCAAACTCAGAGTTCTCTGATTACAAACCCACAATCACATTTCAGAAAAATGGACAAGACCAAATGCTAATGGCAAGAGGAGCACCAAACAGAAGTATAGCTCAGAGTCCTTTTAGTTCTGCAGCCCAGTGTTCAAACCAGGAAGAAGTCACAGGCAAAATAGAGCACATCACTGCAATGCTCAGCAATCTGAGATAGTTCACAGCACAGATTCCCTTGGTTCTCTGCTCTTCCTCATGGTCCTAAGATTCCATCCAGAAACCAAGGGAACTCCTTTCTGCTGGCATTCATTTCACTGCTTCTGTTTTTGTGGAAGATTTTGTATAATTTATATAAACAAGCTAAAGTTGACTTTGTTTCATGAAACAAGACCTCCAGCAGTAATCTGTTTCAAACACCCTGGTCAAGCAGGGACATTGACAGCCAGTTTCCCAGGACCCTGTCCAGACAGATACTGAGTGTCTCCAAAGATGGAGACTCTGCCACTACCCTGGACAACCTGTGCCAGCACACAGTCACCCTTGAAATGAAATATGGTTTCTTGGTGTTCAGAGGGAACCTCCAATTGTTTAATGTTGTGCCTGTGGCTTCTGGTCCTGTCTGTTAGAGGATGCTAGTACTTGTGCAATGAAAGGAGATGGAAGTTGGTTTATATGTTACATTCCAGTGTTTAACTGAAGTGTGTAGCACAGGACAGTCCTTGGCAAAATCTCTGGTTCATGTCAGGAAAGAAATAAGTATGAACTGCAGGAATTGCAGATATGTCCTCAGTGCTGTCAGCAACTTGTAGATACAGGGCTTGGCACTGGATAGGTCCTTAATCTCAAGCGTGTGAAATGCAACCTCCAGTCAACTTGACATGTATTCTACCAGAATTTAGCCTTCAAATCAAGAAGTCTCACCAGCACCAGTCTTTAAAACCAGGCTATAGATAGGATCTGCTGCTACTAATTCAATTTAAATCTTTGCTGAGCTGTTGTTATTTAAATTGTTGCTATGGCTACTTACTTTTTCTCCTCAGTATCATCAGTTCTCAATATGATTTGTTTCTTCTTGCATGAATGGTCCACACCACAGGGATGAACCAGCTTTGATGATGTCACAGCCGTGTCACAGTAAACATGGAAGCTCCTTACAGCTATGAGCAAAAGAACATCTCCATCCTTTTAGCCTGGGGAGCTATGGCCTGGGCCCTACCTGAGCTCTAGGCATAATCAATAGTGATGCAGTGGCTAGAACACTGGTGGTGGCCCATGTTACTGGGGAGTAGGTGGGAGGGTTGGCCTACGAGAGGTGTCTTCTGGCCATCAGGGAGACATGGGATGGAAAACCTTGAAAGAAGGCTAGGAGAGCCCCAGGTGGGGAGGCATAGGAGGTCTGAGGTGATGGAAAGTGACTTACTTCGGTTATTGATTCTCACCTCTCATTTCTGCACCATCCTTCATCTCCACACCTCATTACTTTCTACAGGTAGCTGGAAGCCCATCACAGTCATGGGCAAAGGCAGCACTGTTACACAACCATGTCTGTACCCTACCTTCACCACCTCTGTGTCCCATCATGTTCCTAGAGGTAGCTGGAACCTACCCACAAACATGGAAAAATGAATCTCCACACCACCTACAACCTCAGTATTCCACATCTCTGTATCCCACAATTGTCCTACAGGTAGTTAGGAGCTCCCCACAGCCACAGATAAAAGTAACTTCTCCACCACCCTCTATTTCTGTACCCCACTATAGCCATACTGGCAACTGTGAACAGAGTAACCTTTCCACCACCCTCCTGAGTTCCTCAAAATAAAGTTTCTGATTCATGAACCTATTGTCTGGCTCTTTCAAATCTATGCTGGGTTTGGGTGGGGTTTTTTGGTAACATGTTCCTGTCTTTGTTTCCTTTTATTTATGCACCTTTAAACATGTGTATACATATATATGTATGGCATTTGCAGACATATGTATACACATACACATAGTGTACCTATGAATAAATCTGAGAGCTGCACAGGGGAATCTAGGTGGCTGGAAAGTACCAGGGCTGTGTACTGCAGGGGTCCCCAAGAGCTGCCTGCACAGGTCAGCAGACAAGCCACCTCTTTCATATTGGCCCAATACAAATCAAGAAACAAAAAATTTACATAACTGATTTTTGCAGCAATTTCCACATCTGTTTAAATAAACTGGATTGGAATTTATTGTAGTCATGCTTTATAGCTAACTGCTGCTGAAGGAGGCAGTTCTCACATTCCCAGAGTGCTCCCACTAGTATGTTGGTCCCTTTCTTGTGTCAGAGAAAACATTTATGCAGCTGCAGTAAATCTGATCAATAACAAATCCACTCCTTTCCCCTTGCTACCCTGGATCCATTCCCTGGACAACTGCATAAATATTGTGCCAGCTCAGGCAGGTAGTGAGGGGGAAGTATAGCAATGAGAAAGGATAAGACTATCTTCTTTCTGCAATTCTCTCATTATGATCTGATGCAGAATAAAAGACATCCATTTCTCAGAACATTTGAAAGTCACTACACCACCCCAATATGTGTAGACTAGCAGCTAAAGAACCACAAAAAAAATCCTACATCACACAGAATACTGACATTTGTGAATGCAGAGGTATTTAACACATGGAAGTTCCACATTATACAAAGCAAGTCTCAATGCTCAAGTCTTACTTCTGGTATCTAAAAGTTAGAGTGTGTAAACACAGAACAGCAATCCCCTTTACTGCCCCCATGATGACAACACCAACAGCAACATAGCTTATTGTCAAAACAGACAGTAATGTCATGAAGGACAATTTTCAAGACTTTCCTGATGGACTTCATACAGTTCAATGTCTCAGAATACACACTAAAGCACCGTTTCAGAGCTTTGCCTATTTCACAGAGGGAGGAAGGATGAGAAAAAAATTGCTAGTTGAGTTGAAATACCCACTGATGCATGAGATTAATATTCCCTGGAACGCAATTTACTGTGTTCACATGATTCCTAAAAGGGAAAAATTCTTAAAGGTGGAAAATATTCTTAAAAGGTGAAAATACTTGTTGTGGTTTAACCCCAGCCAGCAGCCAAGAACCACGCAGCCTCTCACTCACTCCCCCACCAACGGGACGGGGGAGTGAATTAGAAAGGTACAAGCTACAAAAACTCATGGGTTGAGATAAAGACAGTTTAATAGAGAAAGCAAAAGCTGCACACACAAGCATAGCAAAACAATGAATTAATTCACTGCTTCCCGAAGACAGGAGGTGTTTAGCCATCTCCAGGAGAGCAGGGCCCATCACGTGTAACGGTTCCTTGGGAAGACAGATGCCATCACTCCAGATGTCCCCCCTTCCTCCTTCTTCCTCCCACCTTATATACTGAGCATGATGTCCTATGGTGTGGAATATCCCTTTGGTCAGTTTGGGTCACCTGTCCCAGCTGTGTCTCCTCCCAGTCTCCCCTGCACCCCCAACTTCCTTGCCAGTGTGGCAGTACGGAAAGCAGCAAAGGCCTTGACTCCGTGCAAGCTCCGCTCAGCAATAACAAAAACATCTCTGCATTATCAACTCTGTGCTCCGCACCAAACCCAAACATAGCCCCATACTAGCCTCTATGAAGAAAGTTAACTCTACTTCAGCTCAAACCAGCACAATACTACAGACAAAGGCAGACCAGGTAACTCAGATGTTATCTTAACTTTCATCTGGAATCATTTTCACTGTGAGTTCAGCTACATTTTTTCCTCATACCTGAGACTGTTAGTTAAGAACACCACAAATGATGTTCCTGTTGCTGTCAAAATCAAGAATGAAATTTGGGAAGAGGAATTATCCATTAAGACATATGCTATAATCAAATATATGGCAGTGGTTTGGCAAAGCAGAGATATTTGAGAATTAACAGCTTGTGGAGGGGACTGAAGGTGCCTGCCAGCTTAGGGTTCAGCAATGTACATGCTGCCAACAAGTACATGTATTTTAGTTTACACTTTAAACAAAATATAACCAAAACTGCCAGCAAATATCATGCTATCAGATTGCTATAGTAGATTCAGCTGTCTGCTCTGAAGCAAGTTTGTTTCATCCAGAAATGACATTATTTAACTTGCAAATAAAAATTTGAGCTGCTGTACAATGTGCTGTACTAAAGATGGATTTATAAACAATGAGGATAGAGTCTTACCAACTCACCTACATCCAAGTAAGAATATTAAATCTGGAAGTTTCAAACACTGTATGGGTTACTACCTACATGCATCTTCCCCCTTCTTCTGTGAGCCTATTTTCATGATGGAACAAGAGAAATTAGGTATTTCAGTGTTTATTATGATTAGTCATGCTTCTTGGCATATGTTATTGGATTTTGCATTTAATAAACAAGCATTTCTGTTGTGAATACCCCAGGAATGGAATCCATTTGTACATAAATTCTGAGAGATAAAGGATGACTAATTAATTTATTTTATATTTCAAAATCTTGAATCTTTCTCTCATGAGCACACAAGCCAGAATCTTTATAAAGAATGGATTTTTCTTATCTTCTCCATCTGGGTATAGTAGATCTTTTTTTTTGCTGATATGTGATTTTGAAGAACAAGTCTACACTGCAGAAAGTAATAGATTTCAAAAAATTATGATGAAAACCATTGCAGCTATTTCTCACTACAGTCTCCTTATGCCAACATTTGAGCGGTGCTGGTTACACACACTGATTTATGAAAAAGCAATGCCATACCTGTAGACATGCAGGAGCTCTGCCTTGGGGTTTATTCACATCAACAGCCACAAGCTGCCAACCTCCAGCAGCATCTTCATGAAACATCTTGAAAAGGAAGATTGTTGTCAGAAATGTTTTATGTGCCAATAAATTCAAGTGAAATCTAATACATTCCCCTTAAGGACCTGCATTTTGATGATAGCTAGTTTAAAATAAGAGAGAAATAGTTTTGCTACAGAAAAAGTAAGTAACGTGCTTTTCCCAACATTAAGACTGAATTTTACTCAGATAACATCAAACACAATGAGCCTCATAAAAGCTAATTCAATTAATCTCTGACCAGTATCATTAGATGGTGGTACCTGTTCAGAACAAATTCCTTACTAAGGTAAACTTATCCTGAGAAAACATAAATACACTGTGATCAAGAAGTAAGTTTCATGGTGCATTTGGCAATAACAGGCAAACTTGTGGCTTCTTACTGGCAAAATTATTTTACTCCAAGGACTTTGTTTTTGTTGCACTGATGCATATCAAGAGTAGCTGTAGAGCCCTTCTGTATTGTTACCCAGAGCTTAAAATTCATTTAAATTGCTGAATACTTCCAGGCTTCAATGATGTCAATGGAAAAGGCTCTCTTGACCTCAGTGTTATTCACATTTTACCAAGAACCTCTGGAAGTGTAGGTGTAGGCATTCTGGCATTTTTTATTTTTTTTCAATTCTCAGAAATTAGGACACAAAAAGACGCAGACTGCTGAACATAAGGAACAGTGAGAAACCATTTCTGAAAGTGATTAACACTGCCCTTGAAATGTCCTTCAAAGAAAATAAATGGCTCTAGCATTTTAAATTGTCACCTACAAATACTATGTAATGAAGTGTGGCAAAGTTCACACCTCACTCCCACCTTTTCCTTGACACCCAGCACTCAGACAAGTCATCTCAAGAACACAGCCACAGGACCCTGGTTGAAACTTAAAAGTCATCCTGAGTGAAGTGCTCATTAGACTGGGGACAGTGTCACACAAATATGGTTGCAACGCTCCTGAGTACTTATTTAGCATCTCTGTACCACGAAGAGTTGTAACTAAGATCAGCACTGAATTACTCCTCTTTGTACCATGTTTTAATATGCAGTACTAAAGTGCTTTACAAGAACCTCTTTCTATCCTTTTCCAGAGAACCCTGCCTTGACTCTGATGCTTGGACTCTCATTTTCTTTTCTACAGGAATAAGTTTGGGGAACAGCTCAATGATTTATCAAGTGAGCAAATGAAGGAAGATATTGTTGCATTCTCTCAAGGTTATTTTATGCACAAAACAAGCAAAGGTTTTAACTTTCATCTGGTGCTTTGAACAAAAATACTCCAAGAAATTCTCTGCCTGTCTTAATACAGAAAAAGATAAATCATTTTTGCAGTTCAGTAAGCTGGGCTTCTTTTATGTCCGTGACTCAAGGAACATAGCAACAATTTGCCTGTCTGCAGCCAGCATGCTGCCTTTATTTTGCATGATGCAGTTTATATGCAACATGTTCATATTCTTTGGCATGATGACATTACTTTGGGGATTTCTTTTATTCTTGAAATTTCTTAATGTTGGCTGTATCTTGTGTTACCCTACACTGATATCTCTGTTCCAGCTTCCAGTTCAGAGTATGTTGGTTAACCCTATATACAAAATGAACATCAAGTTCCTCAGGCTAACCATGTGTCATGTAGAAAAGTCCTTTTTTTCTGGATTTAAAATTGATATCACAAAGTCTGCTTTGACAAAGATATATATCAAGCAGAAATTATTGCCACGAAATCTATTTGAGGCAAAAAATGTAGCAGCAGGCAGAAAAGAACTAGATTTACATATGGATTATAGGAATTTCCAAAGGAATATCTGAAAATATTTAATAAATAACTTTGAAAATTTAAACCCTCTGGCTTAAGAAAATAAATATTCTTTAGTTACATGGTTAGAAAAACTTCCCCCATGGGTATGTTTCGCATATCTGTCTTCCTAAGAGCTTTCTGCAGGCATTTGGTACTGACCCCTCTCAGAGATGCAAAGTGCAGTATCCTGGGAAAGCCTGGTCTTTTGTACATTCAGGATACATAATGTGATTGTTAAAATAATGAGTGAGAGAATTTAAATTTTAAACCATTACCTCTCATTTTTCAGACTGGGTCTTTCCCAGTATCCAGCCCACACGTAGCACCCTTCCTCTCATGGCTTCTTCTTACTTGCTATCTCTATACAGTCTCACTGTCTGTGACTACCCCAACTATTAGCATGGCTCTCTCATTGTCCCAGCACCTCATTCCTACTTGGTCTCAACACACCCTTCTCAGTCCCAGGACCAGCATCCCCAGACACTTCAGCTACCCTCTGACCTCTCTTTTTTCAGGTATAACTTTGCAATTTCAGCTCTTATTACTTAGCACAAAAAGTGATATTCAATAGCAACCCTAATTTCAAATCCATTGATGACATGATAAAAAAGCTTTCTTCATTAATAGAAAGTACAAACACAGCCATAACATACCTAGCCATATAGAGAACCATATTAGAATCTTCTCTGTCATCCTTTTTCAAGAAAGCATAGTTGGACAATGTAACCAAGAATGTAAGTTTATATGAAAATTCATGTATCAATTTTAAAATATAGGTAGCAACATGTAAAGTCAAACCTATCACATATGACAGGAATTTTTTTTTATTATTAATTCATTAACTAAATCAAGTAAACTCCCCAGAGAATCTCAGCATCACAAATGCTTCACCTGGGTGGTGGCAGTGGAAGTAGTACTGCTCCTGGACCCCCACATCTGCTGGAACTGCACTCTAATTTCTGCAAATGTTTCAATGATGACTGCAATGAAAACATTCTGGAAAAAGAATAAGAAAGAACATCTGACATAAAGCTCAGCAAGTAGAAAAGAGAAGAAATTAATTCTAATATGATCTACATTTCAGATCAGTTGAAAAAGACATATTTTTCAGTACCTTAACAAGCCAGGCCAGAAAGAAAATTAAGGTGATGAAATAGAAATATGAACGCCATCGGGGAAAGCTGTCGATTGCTCGGTACATGAGGAACACCCAACCTTCCTGAGAAGCAGCTTCGTAAACAGTAAATATGCTTGTGCCTGTCAGAGGAAAAAAAAATGAAATTCTTAAGCCTCCCTAAAAGTTTTCAGTATCAGCAAACAATAAACTTTTATCTATTCATTTTCCTTTTCTCTAAAGTATCAGCTCTCCTCTCCTTCTTCAAAGAGAAAATTTTCAGGTGCATTTCCACATTTTTTCCTTTTGCAATTCTATATGAACTAGACCAGACTGACTTCCTTTTCTCCCTGGACACACATGCATAATCACTTAGATGGGTTCACTGACAGTATGCAAATGCATCCAAAGGCAGAATTTGTCCCATCATCCAGCAGCATCCCTGAGAAATGGCAGATTTAATTAAAACTATCAGGATCAACATTCAGTAGGTGAAATAAATCACTATTAATATCAGCAACACTTGAGTAAGCAGCAATACACCAAGAAGGTTCCTGACACTATCAAGCAAGTGAAGCAGCTACAGCAAGCTGCTGAACTGTTTCAAATTCAGGCAGGTAGCCAGAGTAGTTGCATTAACATACATGTGTTGCCTTAAAAAAGCATTTTTAAATAGAACTTTGTATATCTCTCTGTGGAGGGGGAGAGAAAATGAAAGAAAGGTTATGAGAGGTTTATGCATGCAGAAACCACTTTTGAATAAAAGCTATAAAGTTACTGATTTTAAACTTAAGGTCCAAATGCAACCTGATGTCTGAATGATAATGTGCTTCAGCCAGCTTGTCAATCCCCCTTATCTCTGCAATGAAAACTTCAAAATACAGACTGGTTAGGGCTTGTAAGGCAATCTTGTTTGAAGCAATTTTTTTGTTCCAAGAAGAAACACAATTAAACTGTGAAATTAAACTGTGAAATCTCACAAACTGCTGTGAAATCACAGAATTGTCCTACAGCCACCTGCTAGCTTTGCTCCACTCCTGCTTCGTTTCATGAAATGTCTTGGATAAAAGAGAGGGAGTGTGAGGAGCACTGCCCTTAGCAAAACATAGCAGCTGCTAGCAACATAAATATAGAAAGCATGAACCAGCTGACTATCTGATCCTGTTCACAGAGAAAAGAGTGGTTCTGGTCAGAAATTCCAGATTCTGGGAGTTTCCCAAAAAAAAATCACACTAGCCTGTAAGGAGCTCTGCCCTGCTATTCTTCCATTGAATTTGCAGCACCTACATCCTTTTATCTGCTAACATAGGTGAGATGAACCTGAAAGCATTTTTGCCTTAGGGTGTCCCTTTTGCAGATCAATCTTCACTAATAAGTGGAGACAGGGATGAATGGATTTTTTTCTGTATAACCTTAATCCTTTTATAGGTAGGTGTTGAATGGTTAAGATGGGCATGGTGGGTAGGCAAAATTGTTAATCCTTTCTGTTAATTTTCCTAGTTATTGGATTTCTTCCTATTTGCTGCATACGGTTCTCAAGATAAAGGGAAATAAATAAAAATAAAATGAAAGGAAAAGCATTCAAGCATAGATAGTAAACCCCATTCTATTTCTTCAGAAGAGAGAATGGTCTCTGTCGATACTGAAATATTCATCAGTGATTACTTCATGGGTATTTTGCATTTCAAAAATCCATAAAGCAATGGTTCAATTGTCTAATAATACACACTATTGCTGAACTGATTAAATTATTGAACAAAACAGTGCTGTTGAGGACAGGCAGAGATTAAGGGGAAAAAAGGAATCTATTAAAAGTTGCTGGCTAGGAAACTGTCATTAGTCATTACCAATGGGAAAGTCACAGTGAAGATTAGTAAAATAGAGGGGATGTCATGCAAAGTATTTATAACACATCGCTGGGCCATCTGCCACAGTAAAGTAATACTGTGAATGGACAAAAATGCACAATTAACTCAATTAAAATAATGTGTTCGCCTGTGATACTAAAGTAAAAACACATCCAGGGTATAACTGGTAGAGGTGTTCTTAAGGTTATTAGAAAGCAATAACTTAAGAATGGATATTCTTACTTGGCATATGTGACTAGAAAGCAATAAAGCTTTCATTGCTGCTGTTACCATGCTGTTAACTATCTCTGTAAATACTCTTTCAACTGGATACAGAATAAAAGCATGACAGTAAGGGATCCAACACCAGGAAATGTTTTGCTTTCAAAAAGAAGAGTAATTCTTGGTTAACATCTGCCTTACTGCACATTTTTGCTCTCCTAAAAGTTACAATTAAAGACAATCAGCAAGTGATTCTATTTATTCTGAGTGTGTAGTATCTAACTACATCTTCCTAAAGCCAATGTGTAATTTATTAAAAAGACTCTCCTTTCATAGCAACATGCTCTGTTTTTCTCACCATCTTCAAAGCCATATGGAGGGAGAGAAAGTAGCAAAATTTTAAGCAATAGTGGAATACATCACAAAAAAACAGATATGGGGATGCTGCCACATATGAAACCTAACATATGCCCCTCAGATCAAATGGAAAATGTCTCCTTTCCCACAGATGTCAGTATTGTATCAGTGACACAGCATCTTCTACTAGTTCAAAGGGCTTAAGTCATGACAGCATAGTGCTAGGAGTCCCATGGTTAGGGCATGTGAGAGCATAGTTCC